ATTATTATTATTATTATTATTATTATTATTATTATTATTATTATTATGATAATTATTATTTATTATTATGTGAGAGAATTTAATAGACAAATTAAGGTTTTACTGATTTTGTCGCGAGCCATATCGATATTATAATATTTGCTCTAAACAATAATAATATCAAACATCGTTTTACTGATATAACTAAGTGCAGCGCAGAATTGTAAACGCAGACGATTGAGACATATGATATGCTCCTGATAATAATTTGTATTTTTGACGATGAGTACATTATCGTAAAAGAAAAATAATTTGAAACATGATAAATAATAAATTATACGACCATGTCTTTGGAAAAGTACTATCATACAACTCAATGAAAATTACAGTTGATACGTTTTAGTTTCTTTTTTTTTTTTGTGTTCGGATACCGACTGTATTGAATGTGTATCCGGAAGAGGTGTTGGGTTAAAATATTAAATGAGAGGTGTCATTGGTCTTTTAGACCAACGTATTAGAAATTATTTTTATATTAGTCTGTAATGTTAGTTTATATACATATTTTATTTTAAGACACATGTCATATTATTATAGATATTTAATATAAGGCCTTAAGAACTACCTCTAAGTTCCAATGCCCTCTCTACTAGCAATTAATATATAATAATACATATCAAAATTAATTTATTTTTATAGTCAAAGATGCATGAACATGCATAAAAAATTAACACAATTTATGTAGTTGCACCTTTTTACTTTTTTTTATTTAAAACTAAGACAAGAAAATAGATCTTTTACATCTAAAAAAATGGGTATAAAAAATAAAAAAATTATAATTATTCATTAGTCTGTTTAAGTTTTATGTGTACAGTCTGGACTACTTAGAATGGTATGCTCTCTGCAAATCGGTGAATCACAAGTTGAACAATGTGTTGTAGTTTTGCGATTTTTTTTTTTTTTTTTTATGAGCAGTAAACACATCTCCCTCGAGTTTCATTTTTTTCTACAGGTTGTTCTTGAAGTACCTGTTTAAATTGTATTTTTTTTTTTGCTCTCAAATTACGAGAAATATTTTTATTTTGTAATCATTGTTTCATATAATCCATACAAAGTTCTTTTGACAGTTCTTTTAGGAAGTTTAGCCGACTCATTTTTTTCTTCGTATTAATCTGTAGTATTATGCAACTATTTATTCCACCAATATTGAGAAGAGAATAAAATATTGTCATTAGCCAGCGACAAGAATTTCTAGAAACTGAATATGATTCTTTTAACTCATCGACTGTATCCACGCCCCTTTTTGTATGATTATAAAAAGTAAGTAGTTCTGATTTAGTTTTTTCACCCGTTGATGAGTCAAAATCATCAGTATGATGCATGGTACATAATAAAGTTACCACTTTATTTTTTTTTTCGAACATTTTTTTTAGTGTCCCTACTATTGTAAGTTTTTTACCAAAAAGTTCTTGTGCAAGTGAAACAGACATAAACCAGTTGTCCATGGTAACATTACGACCTGAATTACAAATGGGTCTCACAAGTCGTTCAAAAATATTTTTACCGCTATTATCCATTTTAAAAGTCCCTTAAGATGGCTTCCCCGCATACATTTCTGTGTTTAGTGTAAAACATTTTATTAAAAGTGAAAATATCTTTATGCCATATTTAGCCGGTTTATTCAGCAAATACTGGCGAGAAGAACACCTTCCTCTGAACGAAACTAACATCTCGTCTATAGTTGTATATGTATTAATGCTATAGTTTTGTTGGCATTTTAATACAAACTCTTCAAATATGTATATATTGGGTGATAATTTATCAACTTATCTTCTCTCTATATGATCTGTAACGTCATAAAATCTCAATAATCGAAGAAGGAATTTGAATCGTTGTAAGGTCATTACAGCACGAAACATTTCTACTCCTGTACCATCTTTGGCCCACAAATCAACTAAATTTAAATGAGATGACCTCAAAACTCCAGCTAAGTAAAGTAACACAAATAAAGCTTTGATTTCTACTAATGAAATGTATTTGGCATATTTTTCATCACTATAATTATTATGCATTTTAGAAATGTAAATATCAGTAAAATTTGTGATACCTTGAATAATATTATCTGGGATAAGTAAAACCCAAGTAAAGCTTCAATTGCTACATTTACATTTCGCACATTACCTTTTGAACCTGGACATTCAAATAGTAAATTATGTCTTGTTGTCCGTGTATTTATTGGGGGTGGATGCATATACCAAATACTCTTTTTGTCTTTTCCAGTGTAACTTGGGCGTTCTATATAAAAATAGAAACAACCAGTAAATAACTAAGTAACTAAATAATCAAATAAATTAAATTACCTTTAATCTCTTCAATAACAACTGTAGGTTCATATTCATCATTGTCTTCATCACACGACTTTTCACTTTCAGTTTGATGATCACTTTTTTCGACATAATCAATATTCGAAACATCGGATTCAGAAAATACGCAATTTTCAGTTTCATCAAGCAAAATTCTTAGATATTCAGCTTGTTTCTCCATAATTAACTGAATAATTAAGGTTACTTATGAACACAACACTAAATAAAACTAGGGAAGAAACGAAGAAAAATAATCATAAGAGAAGTACGTCGGTAAATAATAAAAATGAAGGCATCGAAAACATGAAAATACAAATGATATCAATGAAATAAATGACCATTAATTAATGAATTACTATTGATAAAAATGTTAATTGAAATGAAGATAAATAACAATTTATATCGAAAACAGCATAAAACAGATAATGTACACGTGTATGAAAGATATGAGGAATATCCAAAGTGTTGGGAAATAAACAATTAAATGAAAACAAAACTAAAAATAACTACGGTCAAAAAGACAAACAACACCTCTCCTGGGGTATTAATGTGGCTTGATACGCAACAGCGTATATTCACGGGGATTTAATACAAAAAGCCGTCTGAACGTCTTAACCTCTTCATGCACAACGGTATCATATGATACCACTAAATAAAAATAATTGTATAAAATCGAGGAAGCATAGCTGCAGTGTTATTCATGTTTTTATCTGAAGTACGTAACGTTACGAAACGTTTCAAATAGTCGTATTATCACTAATGTTATCGTACTACGAATAATAATCATATCAATCAACGGTTTCTTCGTGTTCAAAATTCATAATTTTCTTTTTTTTAGAACATCGAAAAAAAATTATTAAATTAGGTAAGTATCATTATTATAAAATTCTTTTATGATGTGAGATTACATTTATAATTCATTTATGATAAGATCAAAAAATTATGTATGAAAAATTGCCTAGCAATTATGTGGTATCATATGATACCACTATGCATAATACGAAATTAAAATTAGTGAAAAAGTATAATTATTATATAGTGAACAGTTGGATATTGTACAGAAAAAGTGTGGATGTAAATATGTCATTGTTAAATTTTAAAGGTTTATAGTTTGGAGTTACAAAAAGCAAATAAAAGAGGTAGAAAATTTGATTATGTGAATCAAAAAATCCCACCAAAAAAAAAGAAAACATAAGATGTCTATTCCTTCAGAAATTAGATATGACAATTTTGATCATTATCCATTAATAAAAGTAATTGATCAAGCTTCTCGCTGCTGTGACGATAACTGTACGTTCAGAACGAGATACACATGTGGAAAATATGAATGTTCTGTATGCCCTAAGTGTATGAAGTCTTATCATATAGAATAGTATAAGTATTATTATTATGATATTATCTATTACATAATTTTGACTATTTTTACCTAAAAAGTTTTTTTTGTTTTATTTGTATTTCAACTTGTTATCATATTATATATTACATAATGTTTAACTGTGGACAGAGGCAATCTACAATTTTTAATAATTTTCCTAATTGAAAAAATATGTTTTGTTTTGTATTACATTATTTTATGATCTATAGTTTTATTATGCACAAGTAATTTATACATGTGATCAATAATAAAGTAATAAAGTAATCGGGTTCTTTAATTTTTAAAAATTTTTAACAGATTTTATTCTCTAAAAAATGTATATAATGTTAACTTATGTCATAAGATTTATGTTTGAATGTTAAATATACAAGTTTATAATTATTTAAATTTTTTTTTTTCCTTGAACTATTACACCTAGGTATCATATGATACCACATGATAAAAAAAAAGATTTAAAAATCAAAAAATTAAAAAAACATATTTTTTTATTATTTTTTCCCAGCATCTAGAAGCAACAAGCTAAATGGTTATGAATTTTTAAATTAACATTTTAAGAAAAAAAAATATCGTGCATGAAGAGGTTTAATACCAATCATTTTATGTTATTTTTCCACCAGGCATTAACCACTGTTGTCACCTAAGGCGACGTTCTACTAGTATAGGTTGACCATATTTATGGAAAAAAAAAACGGGACAAATATGTTCTCTAAAAAAAAAGACCACATTTTTCTTAACTTCTACCCGTATATTATATGCAATAAAAATAATTTTTAATTTGTTTAATATTTTAATTAAACATTGATTTGCATTCTTTTTTTGCTGTGAGATTGAAAAAAATTACTTAAAATATTCTTTATTTTTATTGAGTTGATGTCAATTGTTCATAATTTTCTTCATTATATCCTTTGACATTATATTTTTTTGATGAACTGATTGCATTTAATAATTTTGGTTGTGTTAACAAAAAATCATAAAAATCATTACAGAAATATTTTTTAAAATTATTTTTAAGAATTATTATTGCTTTGACAGTTTACATAAGAGAACGATTTTTTTCGTTCTCCCATAAAATATTTGTGATAGAAAATATTCTTTCTATTACTGTATTATTTGACCTACAAAGGTACAGTGAACATATATTTCCTTTTAGGCATTTTAAAAAAATAATAAAAGTGATAACACTAACGACTCACAACAATTTAAATAAAAAAAACTGATATACAGTGGCTATACAATTAATAACACAAGATCGTTGCAATGTACACAGTGTATACTACACTCGATTTACAATTTTTATGGAAGTAACAGGATTAAAACGGATTTTAAAAACGGGACAAAAATCGTCCCGTTCAAAGTTTTTCGGGACAACGGGACGTAATGATATAAAAAGGTACAATTCCGTTAAATGGGACGTACGGTCACCCTATACTAGTACGACAACTCATATTTTAATTCTGGTACGAGAAATCGCGTGAATGATGGTGCACACTTCTGATGCTGGTTCGTATATTTTTCCCGTTTCGTATGTTCAACTTTTTTTAAATCACCGACTAAATCAAACGCTTATGAACCATACTACAGTTAGTACGATACATTAACAGACCACAATATTAGGCTAAAAATAATACTTCCTTAAAATACTGTAGTGGAATGTTATCAAATTGATAAATACTTTATTATGGATCACGTTGATCCATTTCGATAAAATACCTTTTGTTTTTCCATTCGTATACGGCACTTAAAAACGATAACAATAGTATCTCCTATCAAGGTGTGATATATTTCGTTTTTAATTATTGTACAATAAAGCCATATGTTTAGTACACCAAGATGCTTTTCTAAACATTTTTATTATATTTAAAAATTGTCAAGAACATTGGTTCTTAATTTTCTCAGTATTTGCAATTATCGTTAATTACTATCGCTGGTATATTAAAAACATCGGAAGTTATGAGAAGAGTAATGCCGGTGATCACCTATTCGATTATTGTTAAAAAGGACGTTTATGGCTCGGCTTGAATTATTATTTTCACGATCTATAGCGCGTACCGTTAATCAGCTATCACTGTGATAAATATCGGTAATATTAGCATAATATAAAATCGCACTAACGAATTTTATTACATTAGCGTCTTCATGTCTACACTTTTTCTTAAACTCTGTTACTTTTTGCGTACATTTTACGGGAAATTGAGAGTAAACACGCCCGTAGGATTTCTGCCTGCTTATACTTTTACTTTTTTATTCCTATTGGTTTGTTTGTTTGTTTGTGTTTTTCAAGTCGCTGCCTCGTTTATTTGCACACCATGTCCAAAGGCAACCCACATTGTTCTACCACTCTTCCCAATAAAATTCGTTGATGAATATTGAGATACGGGGCATTTTCGTGCAAGGACATGCGTATTGGTGAGTAGAAATTCTGTCCCAGCTGTCGTCTTTGCTATATTTATTCCCTTGCATTTCCTTATTTGTTTTTACTCTAATTTTTTTTCTCTGCGAAGCACTTTTTTAGGTCATAATTCAACTATCTGATCTCAACGACCTGATATTATTTGCTGTGGCAATATATGTATATATATATACGCACAAATATGTACGTAAATGGCGGAGACGCCATATTCTACTCATAACTCATTGGGTGTATAAGTCCAATAGTCAATAACGATAACTCCTTCTTTGATTCTTTTTAACATTTACACGATTTTCATAATATGAATACCATGAGATTGTCATACTGGGTGGCAGTAGTAGCTGCGAAAGCTTGTAGTAATTTACCACTACTCACATACTCACAATCAACGTGAAAAAAAATTCATTAGAAAATTTCTATGAATTTTTACTCCTTTTTCGTTGATATAAGATACATATAGTGAGAAATCTCAAATAAAGATTATAACATCATATTAGCTAACACAAATGAAAAATGACCCGTATTCACAGATTGGTTATAGGAACGCCAATCGATCGCCATATTGTCACTGTTGCCATTTATCAGACCTGGTTCATTCTTTCCGGTCACTGTTTTTAATAAAGAAGTTACTATTTGTGATAAAGATAGGTACAACTGACATTTGTATGGTGTCTGGAGCAAATAAAAATATTAAATATATAAATATATTATCGTGTGTATTGCTAACATAATTAAGAAACTATGTCACATATTCGTCTGTATATTTATCTATAATCGGATAAAATTATATGCAACAAAAAAAATAATTATTTTACGATATAAACGTATACCGTGTATTGTATAACATTTAAAATACAATAAATATACTCTTCGACGAAATCTAATTATATAATTTTTTTCATAGTTATTTATTATACGTTAAATCTAGAAAACGATTACTTACAATTTAAATGACAATACGAATATAGTATATGTGATTAACCAACAGTATGACTGTTTGAAACTTCGTTCAGTTTTTTAAAATGTTACACTGTCCGTACCTATCTTAGTTATATTTAAAAAAAAAATGTATTGTATATTTCCTCTACAAGCGTGCAAGACGTTACCCATAAATCAATGACAGTATTGCTGTGCAAACGAAAATTTCTGGTAAAGGAAATTACTTAAATCTGCTACCACTAACGTCTCGATTATTTTTTTTCATTGATAAACTTTCACGATCGACCGGAAATTAACCGGCTCTGATCACGAACCCGACTGAAACCGATGTGCGAATACCCGTAACCTTGAAGAGTGATGAAAACGATAGTATTAAAATGGTTTTGTTTATCCGCGTTTTGTAGTCGTTCGCCACATTCGCCGTGTATCTTGCAAACGGTTACTGTGCACGTGTGGCTAAGCGATCGCTG